ATGAGAAGATATATTAGTTGTGTAGACATGCTGACATGGTCAAAATAGCAAGATCTCGCGCACATGCACGTGCGCTTCGCTCTGATTGGCTGAAGCTAAAGTCTCAATATCTTTCTTGTTTTTTGACAAAATCCTTTGAAATTTTGAACATAGTCATACACTACGAAGATCTACAGCACGATATATAAGAATTATCATATAGGATGCGCATGCACATGTGCTGCAATCTGATTGGCTGAAACTTTAACTGGCTATAACTCCTTTGGTTATCAACCAAACAGGATGGGATTTAGAACATAGATAGGCATAATGGATCCCTACAAGAAGGTATGGTCAACATGCACATGCATGCACGTGCGTGCACGTGAAATGAGTAAATTTAAAAATACACTTGAATTAGCGTAATTTTTTTTAACTTTTGAATTAAATGCTAGAATATTCAGTATATTAAAATATATAGAGAGTGTACACAAGTTGATATGGTCATTATGCACATGCATTAACATGCGCACGCGTGCAAAGCTGAAATTTGAAGATACTTGGTATACTTCTGGGAAAACGTTGTTAAAGTCTAAAATGCATAGAGTTTGCCTTATTTAATAAAGCTTACAGGGAATATGGCATAAAAAGGGAGTTGGGGAGCGTTTGGGGAACATCTGTAACGGTCCCCGTTACAATTAACACTAGTTATTATTATTATTATTATTTTTTTTCTTATTTCTTCTCCGGTACTTTTTTTGTCCGCGAGTGTTCTCAGAATCTGTTCACCCAACTGAGCTAAAACCTTTTTAGGGTTAATAGGTGTGTAGTGTAGGTGTGCGGAACGAAGGTCATTTTGAGCGCATACGCCTGCACGTGCGTGCGCGTGAAATGAGTGAATTGACTGATATACTTAATATAGCTATAACTTTTACATTTTTTGATGAAATGCTTTGAAACTCATTACATAAGGATATATTAAGAGCCATTCTCTGTAGTGATTTGAAATTTTATATAGGAGCTGTGGCACGCATAGTCTCAGAATTTCTCCAAACTCTCTATGATAAAAGTCATTGATACCCTAAACTGAAATCAGGCAAAAATTGGTTGCTATGCTTTATAGTTACCATGGCAACATGTCTTAATGTTCGAAAAATGGCATTTTTTAACATGTTTAGAGCCCCATAGTTAACATTTGTGGCAAAGCAAACAATTAGCAATGACTGTTTCCAAAAGTTGAAGGTCAGATGTCTCAAATGCATGATAAACATGTTTGATAAATCAACTATTGCATACGTTACTATGGTAACAAAGTATTCAAAAGTAAAAAAAAAATATTCATTGAATTTTATAAAGTCATACACATAAAAATAAAAAGCAATTATAGGATGAAATGTGGTCGAATAATAGAAAAAAGAGCCTTGAAACATATACCAAGAACAAAATATGATATTTCATTTTGGTTGGCAATGGTTGCCAAGGTTTTTATACCACAGAGAGCCTTCAAAGTAACACTCTGTATGTTTAACTCTGATCCTATCTTTTAGAAAAGGACATTTCCTCATAAATAATGATCAATTTTTAAAGATGTTGGTGTGTTCCTAGTTTTCCCTTTTGAAAAAATTCAGATTAGATTCTTTAAATAGAGCCTTGCTATGGAAATAAGCAGAAAATATATGCTTGAAAACCTGAAAAATATTTTCTTTCCTTGGATACGTACCCTTAAATGTAGATTCCCAAAACTTTTATGATTGATATTTATTAACAGCTAACCTGACTTTTAATTTTGACGATCATCCAATCTCTAAGTGGATGCAAGAAGTTGGCAAACAGGGTTTAATATTGATATAAAGTTCACAAAATCGAACATTTTCCCTTCTTGGTAACCATAGCAACAGTGTTGTTTTCTTCATCAAATTTTATCAATATATGATATTCAACTTCAGTTCTAACAGATAAGTACTATTCAAGCTGAGTCCTTTAATTTGTTTCTTGATTATATGGCGATTTAATTCTTAATGCAGCAAAAAATAATTCACTTTTAAGCACTGGTACTTTGTTTCCATGGTAACACTGCAAAGTAGCAATTATACCCAATTTTTCTTATGGTTTTGGTGATGCAAGGTCCTAAGGATGCATATTTGCCAGTCTTGAATTTTCATGTTTTTCCTCAAGACAGTAGCATTAACCCAATCTTAGTTACTGGTTTTGCATGGTTACACTCTGTTACCATGGCAACCAAAAAAGTTATTTATAGAATAATATTGCTTATACTTATATACTTAAGGTCAAACATTTTCATTGTTTTTCTTAAGTCGTTGATTGAATTTGAGCATGCAACACCTACCATTAGTGAATACGGAGTGTTTATCAGCATATTTCAGCATTTTAAATGTATTCTAAATGTACGAGTACCCTTGGTTACCACTTACTTAGAGATATATTCTAAACAGTTTCTTTACAATATAAGTGACATCAAGGTGTCATGTTTTTGTGAGAATGCTTTGTTTGCTCTTTCTAGTTTTTATTAAGCCACAGTCAAGATTTAAAGTGGCTGAAAATCTTGATTTTTCAAACTTTTCCGGATGTTGCCATAGCAACCGAGACACTTAGCAACGAAATTTAGTTTGATATTTGTTTCTGGTGTCAAGTTATAACCATGGGTGAAGTTTCATCAAAATCGGTTACCATGCGTGGCAACGAAGTTCAAGTGGTTACAGAGAATGGCTATTAAAAGTGTTAATAATATGACACAATCAAATTAGCATGAACTAACGCGCATGCACGTGCTCCTTCCTCTGATTGGCTGAAACAAAAATCTCAATATCTCTTTTGTTTTCCGACGAAATGCTTTGAAATTTTTAACATTGTCATGAATTAGGATATCCTACAATATAATATGGAAAAAAATTCATGAAATTACGCGCATGCACGTGCGCTGCAATCTGATTGGCTGAAACTTTAAATGGCTATATCTCCTTTATTTTTTGACGAAATTCTTTGAAATTTAAAACATAGTCATGCATTAGGATATCCTACAGTATGATTTAGAAAAAAAATCATGAAATCACGCGGATGCACGTTTGCTGCAATCTGATTGGCTGAAAATTTAAATGGCCATATCTCCTTTGATTTTTGACGAAATGCTTTGAAATTTAAAACATAGTTATGCATTAGGATATTCTACAATATGATTAGAAAAAAAATTCTTGAAATCACGTGGATGCACGTGTGCTGCAATCTGATTGGCTGAAACTTGAAATGGCTATAATTCCCTTGGTTTTCAACCGAACAGGATGGGATTTAGAACATAGATAGATATAAGGGCCTCCTACAAGAAGGTATGGTCATCACGCACGTGCACGCACGTGCACGCACGTGTGTGCATTTGGAACGAGTGAAATTGAAAATACATTTGAATGAGTGATTTTCGATACTTTTGGACTAAATGCTTTCATATAAAGTATATTTTAATATATAGAAAGTGTAGACAAGATGATATGATCATTACGCACGTGCATTCACATGGGCACACGTGGAATGTTAAAATTTGAATATAATTGGTATCCTTTTGGGAAAACGTTGTTTAAGTCAAAAATGCACAGATGTTGTCTTATTTAATAAGGCTTACAGGGAATATGGCACCAAAAGGGAGTTGGAGAGCGTTTGGGGAACATCTGTAACGGTTCCCGTTACAATTAGCACTAGTTAACATTTGTTGTTAAAGATTTCAAACGTATTTTTTTTTAAATTCTATTTAACGCAGTATCGCAGGAATTTTGATCTTTATTAATTCGTAATCCATACTGTAGACAGTTGTGAACATGGAATTCAAAGACCATTTTATAAGACCCTTGCCTGACAATTGAGTTTAAATATGTAAATTTCACTTTTATTTCTTACCGGTTCTTTTATATATATTTTCACCTTGTACATATCATTCAGTGAAGGCCTTTAAAATTTCATTGTGAATAAGTACGTATTATATGTACCTTAGATTATATTTATCTAAAATACCCTTATGATACATATGACTTGGGTTTTCTGATCATCGATGTGCTTTTAATTTTCTTTAAAAAGCTGCAATGTACATCGTTTTCTAATTTAAAGGATTTGCTTTGATTTGTTTTTATTTTTTGCTTCATGTATGTGAAAAACACTATAAATAAAGAGTGCTCAATTAAGCATTCTGATCTCAAAATGATCATTTTTTAATTAGATAATAAATAATTAAAAAGGCTTACCAACCATTGAATATCACGAAGGAAAAGCACACAAGAACGAATGTTTTATCCCTTATCTTCATTACAAATTTTTCTCTAAAATAAATAGAAGTTAAACTGACTTGTATAGACAGTACATTTATTTATTAGTACACGTATAAAGAAGGAAGTCGAAAAAATATGCACTTAAAGATAAAAAATTAGACTATTATGCGTGAGTGTTGTGAACAATCTTCCGTTATTTAGGATTTAATATGCTTCTAAAATTCAAGTGGTGTGCTATACACAGGTAAAATTGCAACGTATGTTCAACATATGTTGAACATACGTTTAACATACGTTCCGAAACATATGTTCGCCATGAAAAACGAGCAACATATGGTTAACGTATGTTTCTAAACATATGTTGATTATACGTTTAACATATGTTATTAATATGTTTTGTATGATCATATTATCAACATACGTTTATGTTCATATGTTGAGCATATGTTAATTTTATTTCTTTCTTTAAATTTTCCTATTCATGACTGGTATTTCCTTGGATTGCAATGTGAACTAAATGAACTAAATATCAAACTTGTCCTTAAATGCCTTGAATTAACAATTAGAAATTAAAAGAACAAAATTATAAGCATTTAATCCTGCATTTATTTTGCAAATTTTTACAAAATTCTGGGTTCATTTCCCTGATAGTGACTGCATTGCTTCTGAAATGATGAAGAAAATAATTGAATAATTAAGAAGTGCCAATGTCATGATAATTACATGTATTATTAATTAAAATATGTTACCACAAAAAGTAATTACCTTGATCACTTAAGAAAATTTCATCAGTCCCTTGGATCATGGTCAAATGATTTGAAAACCTCTCATGTTAAGGCATGGATGGAGCCTACAATGTAAAGATTCTGCTAATTGAGCTCTTGGAAAAAACGAAAAAACACTGCAAGTAATTTACTTATACGTAATGTAATTTGAAACTATATAAAAGATGATATTAGGAAAAGTTTACGATGACAATGATTACAACAGACAAGGGACAGACTTCAATCCAAAAAGCTCGTTCTAGTCTTAGGCTCAGGTGAGCTTATAAGCAAATTAGCAATAAATTTTTCAAAATTTTGACAATTGAAATTGGAATGTTTAAATAGTAAATACAGATTGGCAAAAATGCTATAGGCATGATTCAGAATAATTGAGATACAAATGTATAACCTTTGACTACAAACAAACAGACAAACAAACAAAAAACAGACATTTTGAATACAGTATATCCTAAAACTTTCATGGGAAGAATATATAAGAAAGTTTCAAGTTTATTACAGAGTATTTACTTACATATTTTGAAGCAAGCTTGGGGTCATGGTGTCTGTTCTTCAATGTATTCATTATGAAAAAGGCAGGCTGAATATTGAACCTGTAAAAATATCAAATAATTATTTGCACAGTTTATTATGTGCATATCTAACTACAACAGAGACTCTAGTTTCTCTGGTGTTGAAAAAAATAATTGAAATGTTAATTGATATATAAGTAATCAATGAATTACCTCATATACTTGTTGGCGTTTTTTAATTCAGTTTTTTAAAGTTTTTTAAGGCATTTTTTTTTTAATTTCATAAAATTAAATACACACATTTTTTTGACACTTGTAAATCATGAACACATAAACTAATCTAAGTACCTTGTATGTCTGCTTTAGATGACAATTTATCCCCATATGTAGATATTGTGTTGTTTTATGGCCAGAAATTCTCTCCATACCTTACAGGTTTTTAAAAATGTGCTGGAATATTGTTCTGTAAAAAAAGAGTTGGATTATTTTTTTTAAAAAGCCATTAAATCATGAATTAAGATACAAATACAGAAAGAATTTTCTCAGGAAATATTCTTTCCTTGAATAGTCATTAATGGTAAACACTATGCTTATTGTTGTATGTACCTGATTTGTCATCACGCAATCACCAATAAAATCGGCATTGGTTCAATAACTTTGTTCAATCGATCATCACTAGCTCAGTCAAATAAGCATTGGGTTCTTTGAATAAAAACGGCATTGGGATGCTGAACTTCAGTAGGCCTAATAAAAACAAAAAGTTTTCATTAAATTGTTGAAAGAACCTTATGGATAACGATCTGAATATATCATTTTACTTCAACTGCTACACAGTGTTTCTACTTTCACTTTCATATCGATATCGTGTATAATACGGAAGCATAACTTCTGACGAAAGGAAAACAAATTTACATGAAAAATTGGTAATGCTGGATCCGTATGGTTTTTCATTTATCATAAACAAATCCAGATTTTCCTATTTACCGTCACCAGGTTCGGCTTTTATGAAATGCATTAGGCCTAGACCTGTATCTACTTGTGGATAGGAATGCTGCGTTATACACAAAGTTTATTCGCTTCTCTGTAACCGTAATTAAATGATTATAACACAATGAACTAGGCCAAAAGTCTTTTAAAAATATCTGAGAGCACTTACCCTTTTCCAACACCATAGACTTCTGCTGCAGCAGTGACGTCAAATGTGACGTACATGCACTTTCATCCGATATAAACCGAAACCGGTCCAGAATAAACCAAATCAAAACGGTTTATACAATACATTTTTTTTCCACTTAAATTTAGTTTAAAAAAGTAAAATATTTTGTGAAGATTAGAAGAGGGTGGGGGTGAGGGTGCAGAGTAACAGAGTAGACATCCTTCCTTTTTATGTGAGCGTGTACAAGAAATGATCATCTACATTCTTGTAAATAAATATACATTCAAATTCATCTTGATATATGTATGCTTTTGAAAATATTTTTTTTTTACTTGAAGTCCATTTGTTTAATTAGAATTAACATAAGATAAATTTCGTGTAATTTATATTAAGCTTTAAAGCAGGCACAGATCCAGGATTTCTTTTTAAGCCGAGGGGGGGGGGGTCTACGAATGCTGTACCTACCCAAAAATGTAACCCAGAAATTAATGTGGATTACTGAACTTAGTCTATTATGAATTAAATTTATAATTTATCTAAAATGTAAGGTAAATCTCAACTTTGTCGGCAGGAAAATTGAGCTGTTGAACATTTCCTGACGTTGGAGATGTTTTATTGTAAACAGTGTGAAACTCAAAACATATGTTAAACATATGTTTGAAATGATCATATGTTGAACATACGTTAAACATATGTTAAACATATGGTTACCACAAACATATGTTCAACATATGTTTTGAGTCGGCTATATGTTCAACATATGTTTTAAACATATGTTCAACATAGGTTTTAAACATATGTTAAACATAATGTAGAAAATTCATATGTTCAACGTATGTTTAACTTATGTTCAACATATGGTTCTCAAAACATATGGTGAACATACGTTGCAATTTTACCTGTGTATGATGCACATTAAATTTTGTCTTTGATATATGAACAAGATGTATTTATGAAACACTGATACCCCCATTTGTCAGCTCATGACGAAGGTTTAAGTTTCTAAATTGCAATTCAGCCACTATGGTCAAAAGATAAAAAAAATGTTAGGCAAAGAAAAATCATGTCACAGGGAGAATAACTGAGAAATGTGAAAATCCTAGCTCCAAACATTAATATGTTATGGCGAAAATTAAAGTTTTAAAAACGTTGTTTTTATATTAAGGTCAATGGTCAAAATTAATGGTGCCCAAAGATAAGGCTCTGTATCAAGAAATGTACTTGTGAAATACAAAAGCCATATCACCAACCTTTTAGAAGTAAAGGACAAGGTTAATGTTTTTAAGGGAAGGTAAAAGTCAAGGTCATAAAGTCATAACGGTATATGTTGGTATCTGATGGGAAGTTTTGTCACACGAAATACACCTATGAGGTATGAAAGCCCTTTCATCAACAATTCAAAAGTTATAACATTAGTTTAAGTCTTCGTTTTAAGAAGAGGAAGGTCTCGTCAGAAGAAATAGACCTATGAGTAATGAAAACCTTTGAACTAACTGTTCAAAAGTTATGGCCTAGGTTGAAGTTTGATAAAATTGGCAAAACTCCAAGGACAAGAGGTCAAATATATTGGTTCCCAAAGTGGGTTCTTGTCTCAAGGAATACACATGTGCAAAAAATGAAAGTCATTGTATCAATCTATCAAACATAACGGGCAAAGTTTTTGCGGACAAACATAGAAACAAACTAACAGACAAACAGACAGAACGTCCTCGAACCTTGGATTACATGGTCTAAAATATAAACTTCTCTTCAAATAAATATCTATCTTCAAAGATAATGAAGAGGTGGTTAATGAATAAAATGATAGACACATTTCACATCAAAATAATTAATGTTTACTTTCGACATAAATGATTATATAAGCTAGCATTGTAAAATCAAAATTATTGCTTATTCTTATCAAGGAGTAATAATGCAATCAAATTCAAAAGGCTTTTGTGATTGCAATCAACTATAAAATACAGATAGGGATCGAGTTTTTAGTACATTGTGAATTATTGACTGAAAACAGTCTTTCTAATTCCTGTGATGTGCTCTGAATAATCGGCACTGTAGATGCATCAACAAAAGAAAATATATAATTGTTTAATTATCCCGGAAGAAATGGTAGCATGAATCTATTTAGAGTTTTAATCTTCCTGTTGTAATAAAAAAGATCTCTAGTTCGCCTGCAGAATATCTATGTTGCATGTAGTAATTGTTTAACTATACCGGTAAAAAGTGTTAGCTATGGAACGCCATCACTGCCTTATAGCATATAACTATGCATTTATTATATCAATTTATCATAACGTGATGTTAACATATCTTTACTTTATGTCAATTTTTATGAGATGATGTAAAAATATCTTAACATCATGTCAATGCTGCATTACATGAAGTAAATACACCCTTTCATTATGTCACCACTTCATTACTTGAAGTAAAAAATTCATTATGTGAAGTGATAAATTGTTTACATTGTGTTATAACTTTATTACGTGAAATGAATGTTTCTTTACATCATTTCATTTCTTTAATATGTGCGGTCAAAATTGCATTACGTTAAGTAAATTGTGTTTTATAATTAAAGTTATCATTACATGAAGTCAAAAATCCATTCCTTTTTGAGAATGTTTATTTCTATTATATCAAAGCATTATTATATGATATGGATTTATCTTTATCTTACGGCGAGAGCATCATGATTTGAGGTGAACACATCTTACCTTTATGTCATTGCTTTATTATTTGGTGCAAAAAGTGTATAACATGTGAACATATCTTTATATCATATCAACACTTTATTACATTATGTTAAAACTCCATTCCGTGATGTGGATATATAATTACGTTATGTCAACTCTTTCTTATGTGATCTAAAAATATCTTTATATTGTATTTACTCTTTATCGTGTATGAATTCCAAAAGTGCATTACTTGATGTAAAAATACATTTACATTATCTCAGAGCTGTATAATGAATGTTGACGACCGTGTTTTAATGACTGGTAAGGGGGGGGGGGGGTCTGAATGAAAAGGAATAATTACAAGCACAAAATATCAGCCCCCCCCCCTCTTTTCCCAAACATAACTTTACTATAGAAAATGTTATGTTCATTGAAAGTACAGCCCCCACCCCCAATTGTTGTTGAAGTATAGTCCACTGAGGGTAATGTAGTATATCTGGGAAAAAATATTAAGACTGATCGAAATTGGACCCCCCCCCTCCCCGAAATAGGATTTTCGGGATTAGACAATTTTTTTTGGCTTGTCAAGTTTTTTCGGGCAAACATTTTTTTTTCTGGCTGACCTTCCCTTTCAAAAAAGATGCTACGTCACTGGAATTAGTAATTTTTTCAACCATTCCAGGGCCAGAATTCTATTACAAAAATCTACCAGTCCCTCATCTTAATCAACTGAAGATGCCTTAGTAAGCATGCATGGGCACATATCAGTGGCGGATATAGGAATCTTGAGCAAGGAAGAGGGACGGTATATGGTTGGAGACCAAGGGGTAAAGCGGAGAAGCTCTCGGGCTTTATAGTTTTATAGAAAAAAGTTTTCAACTTAATTCAGCTAAACTTAATGTGAAACTAATGCAATGTCCTTCAAAGTAAAACCAATAAATTTATTAATTTTATGTATATTTTGGTCACTAAAGATGGTAGGGCGGGATTCCCCCCCCCACCCCCCACCCCCCATTAGTGTACGTGTGTTATACGATCTGTTTACACTTTTAAAAAAGGAAAGTTAAAGACTGATAAAAAAAAACTTATGAAAATGTTCTTAGTAAGATCAGAAGTTTAAGACTTTTATCCCAAAAAAAAAAAAAAAAAAAAAAAAAAAAAAAAAAAAAAATCAAAAGAAAAAGAAAAACAACTGCTGCACGAATCATATAATATTTGATTTATTTTAATTATCAGATTAAAGTAAACGCCATTGAATTTCGACGTGTGACTTTAATTCACAGTCGCAGTGTTAAGGCTTTGCACGTTTTAAAGTTTTTATTTAAAGATGCCATTCCCAAATCGCTTAGAATTTCTTTTACGACAGTTTTCTCTCCCGCCAATTTTAGTGCATGCGGAACGCGGAAAATACGTTATGCTCATATAAAGGCCGAGGATATCCGTGTTCGTATAACGTAATAGTGAATCGACATAATGTAGAAGAGTGCGCACAGTATGATACGAGCTTTTCACATCAGATCATTAATAAAAATTAGATGTTTTTTTATCATGAGAATATAATTTCATAACATGGAATGGAGGATTGGCATCACGTATAAGACATATATTCATATCACGTTATAAAATATTGACGTAGTGTATTGACTATTTTAGCATCACATAAATGTACTACCAACTTCAATATAAAGAGCGTCTATATAATGTATGAGTACATCTACCTAATGTAATACAATGTTGATATTATATATATAATATATTTACATCATGTAAATTGGTGTTGAAATAATGGTACGATTTTTTTACACAATGTAAATAAAAATTAACAATACTTAAAGATATGATAAGTTGATATAATATAATTGTAGTATGTATTAATTTCATAAAGAGTTGACATAATATAAAGGAAAGTTGGCACGATGCAAGGGTAGTGTGGGTTAATGTCATAAAGAGTTGACATAATATAATGGAAGGTTGAGACAATGCAATAGTAGTGTGGGTTAATGTCATAATTAAAGAGTTT